AAAATAAATTTGAGATTTGCATGCTATTCAATAATAACGACGGGTCATTGTTTCTAGACTGTAAAAATAAACTGTCTCTGGATTTTAAGTAACAATATTTCTAGAATCTAAGTCACAGTTTTTTGAATTTAAATTACTGATTCTGGAATCTAAGTCACTGTTTCTGAATTTAAATGAAATATATACACTGTTTCTTAAATGTAAGCTAGAAAAAAATGGTGAAATTCATTGTATTTGGATTCAAAGCAAAATAAGCACTATGTTTCTTAAATATAATCAGCTGATGCATGAAAGAAAAGAAACAATCAATGGTTAAAAACATAGACTGTTTCTGGAATGTAAGTCACTGTTTTTGGAATCTAACTCATTGTTTCTGAAAAAGAAATAGTGAAATTTACTGTATTTGTATTCAAAGCAAAATAAGCACTCTGTTTCTTACATATAATCAGTTGATGCATGAAAGAAAAGAAACAGTCAAATGTTAAAAACATAGACTATTTCTGGAATGTAAGTCACTATTTCTGGAATTTAAGTCATTGTTTCTGGATTTTGGTTTTTTTTTTTTTTTCCAGATACAGTGTTTGTTTGTGCACAGACAAAACAAACACTGTATCTGATTTTTTTTTTATACCAGAAACACTGTTATGTTTTGGGTTCTCCAGAAATAGTTTTATGTTTTGGTTCTTTTTTTTTTTCCAAACATTTTTTCGTCGGTTTCTGCCATTAAACTTCTATGAACTTGGTTCGGTGGCTTTGTTCCGATGAATGATTCCTTTTTCAACTTTGATTTGAATTGACTCTTATTTACGGGTTAAGGTTGGTGAAGAGTTGTCTCCGAGTGCCGCACACCAACATCCAGAGAGAACAAAATCCCCACGATTCTTACATGTCCGCCTGCGCCGAGAAAGCCGGCCAGAAGGGTGGGTTCTTCATGCAAGAGGAAACTGTAGTTCTTCGAGACCACGAACCGCAAAGAAGTTGAAGATATGTTCAACATCCAAAGAGAATAAATAATAAGAATTCAAAGAATACCAATTAGCTAGCTAGTTGGGGAGGAAAGGTAATTCATATGATTGAAGTAATTCAACTCATAGATGATGAAGGAATACAAATATATATCCACATTCAACTGTCTGAAAAACTCATCCAAGTACCCCTCCTATATATAACCTGGAAATTCAGTCTTGCCCACCAGGCTTGAATCTATCCATGAACTTGTAATACAAATTATACGGACGTGATTTCCACGTTTTTGGACCGTACATAAACTTAGAAACCAAAAATCGTGAAACAGCTTTGATTTATGTACATGGGTAGCTCCTTTGGGCACGAGAGTTGTGTTTGGATCAAAACTTGAACTTTGGGCTCAGGAAAGGGGCTGGCCCAAAGGGATGCCTAAAGGAGAGTCGGCCTAAGCCCAGCCAAAGCCCAGAAAGCAGAAAATGGGCTTTTCTGACTTGGTGCAGCTCATGAAAACCACTTGCTCGCCTACCCAAAAGCCAAGTGGTATAGACTGACCAGCTATACAGCCCATAAAGTACTTTATAATGGCAGAACAAGTAATATAGCTGATGAGTCACTGCCTCTCAAGTTGCATTCGGGCAGGGCTGCTGCTACAAGAGGCCAAGCTGAGTTGTCTATAAAAGAAGAAAGAGAAATCAGGATTAATGACACTCAAACAAACAAACAAATGCAAGCACAAACTCTGCTCAAAGCCAGATTTGCCTTCAGAACGAAGCTGTAGTCAGCCCAAGCCTTCATCCCTCTCGGGACAAGCCTTCACTCAAACCCTTATAATAGCTCTGCTACCCTGTTCAACCTTGCTGTAGTATCGATTTCTCTTTGTAAAACTCCTTTCCTTATCTCTCCTTAAAGCTCTTAGACCCTTGATAAGCCACAAAGATAGGAACCTGCAAGACGACCAGGCTTGCCCGACAAGGTTAAACCTTGCCCGACCTTCTTTGTGTTTTTGTCTTTTCATTCATTAGCCTAGCAATATGTTGTATACTTCCAGTTGTATTCAAGTTATTTCTAGTAAGATGACTATTAAAAAGATCTCTTAGTGCTTGGATCCGATTTGAATATATCTTCATTGTTCAAACCAGATCTAAGTTCTAAACCCTCGGGCATGTAAATTTGATCAGTTGAAAGTCCTTGGCCTCAAGGCATAAAAAAGAACCTTATGTGGACTTAACCCATCCACAATAGCCCTTGATAAACAAGAAGTCCGAAGTTACTTGGGGCGCAAGTAATCAACCTATCCCTTAGTTTTATTTCTATTATATTATGATTATCATAGAACGCTTAAGCATGGAATGGATTCTGATAGGAAGCCTCAAGGCCTACACCTAAGGCCCCACAAAGGTACCTATTTGGATTCATTCCATTCTGCGGTCTGGAACGTTTGAGTATAAGAACGAATTTTGATGGGAAGCCTCAAGGCCTACACCTAAGGCCCCACAAAGGCACCTATTTGGGTTCGTTCTATCTCTCAGATTCGGGTAATCAGAAGTATAATAGTTGTACGGCTCCTGCAATCAATCGAACGCATATTATATGTTCGAGCATGGTTTAGTTATTGATGGGAAGCCTCAAGGCCTACACCTAAAGCCCCACAAAGGCACCTGTTATAACTAACACGGTTTCTCGGGCATATATATATATATATATATATATATATATATATATATATATATACACACAACTAAAACGCGACATCCATTTTACATCTGCCATGCTAAAGATGGTAGTGGCACGCCTGAGTACTTAGAAGTTAATCTTGATTGTGAGCCTCAAGGCCTATACCTAAGGCCCCACAAAGACACCTTTCAAAGTTAACGCTGTCATTTTCTTCCAGCCTTGCCAGATAAGCAGTGCCCGACGAGTCTTGCCCGATAGGCCGTGCCCGACGAGCCTTGCCCGACAAAGCCCGACGAGCTTGCCCGACAAAGCCCGACAGTGAAGCAGAAGCCCAACAACAGCCCTCAACCGGCGCCAACCTCCTGGGGAGCTGTGCGCTCGTCGGTCAGGAAACGTCCCCGACGGAAATTCCTGACGCGAACAAGTTGATCATAAAACTCAATCTGAACATGTCTTCAACCTCTTCGCGGTTTGTGGTCTTGAAGAACTGCAGTTTCCTCTTGAATCGAATCATTTAGGGTATTTACGGAAGTCTAGATTTATAGCAGGTTGGGCTTGTAAGTTTGGCCCATGGACAATTTTTGGATGGTTTTTTATTAACCTTTGAGCCGTTTTGATTAAATAACATTTTGGGATGATTTTTTTATTAAATATTTGTTGACCCAAGCCATTTTCATTAAAGCTCTTTTTTTTTCTTCTTAAATTTGACTTGGGAAAGGGATCCTTTCGGATCCCTTTCTCCTAATCCACAAACTTTGGAGATCTAAACTATTGAAATTTGATCAAACGACTAAAGTTACTTATATATAAAAACTAAAGAAAATTTGAAATATGAAAATTTGGTAGGTCTAAAATTATTTCAGGGACATGGGGGCGTGGGTTTGCTTAAAAAACCGTATTTATTTTTTAAAGGAATCAACACGAACATCTTTTGAAGATTCGATTCTCAGGTCCATTTAACGAATTCATTGTGATTGGATATTGTGGTGCAAGAGCTACAAATGGTTCAAATACAATCCATTGCTAATTGCTAAACGCCAACTTATTTGGTTTTCACATTTGGTTTAAAATTTTGTTTTTCTAGTATTATTCATATTTAAGTATTCATGGGTGATTACTCTATAAGAAATTTTATTTGAACTCATATAATCTTTTTCTACATCCAACTTACTCATACACTCATATTATTTTTAATGAAAGAATTAATATCTCTTTAAACCCAATTTTATACCTAAATTACCCTCACAAACCCAATTCAAAATGTGAATTTATCTTTACACCCATTTAAAAAATAAAATCCCAATTGAATAATTTGGTGAAGGTTCTACTTGTTTATGAATCTTCCATATACTTTCTTGATATCCATGTCCCCATGACTGTATTTGCATAAGCATAAAGTACATGCCTTCATATGTCTATACTTAAAACATTATAGAAAATAAACTAATAATAACTTTTCTTTCTATGCAGATATTGTGATATGTGGTAGTTAGGCGGGAATGCTTGGGGTATCGACGAAGCTGCCATAGGTGTAGAGAAAGGTGATGTACAATTTGTGTTGCCAATAGCGGTGGAGGATGAGCTTACCAAGCTCTACCTTGGAGATTATGTGTTATACCTAGAGGTGACTTATCGTCGGGAACATTGACCTCCTTCTCAAGCTGGAAAACCACTTCTTTTCCGTTGAAATATTCAACCAAGAAGAGAGTCTTAATTCCAAAGTGAGGCTTCGCCACCATCTACACAGCAAAACTCAACCCCCCCCCAAACCCATCTTCTCAACTTTCAGTGTCGATGGACATAAATTGAAACTCAAAAAATCATCTTCTCAACTCTATAAAAAAAAATAGAAATCAAACGAAGAAAAAAAAAGCATTTTAACGTAGGATCAACATTACATGATGGTAATTACTTAATGGTAATCACTTAATGGTAATCATGCAATAAGGTAAAAATGATAATTCACATTTAAAATAATAACATATTTATTATTTTTAAAACAATATAACACATGTTAAAATATTATTCAACAAATCAAAAAGAGATGAAAGCTTTGAATGGAAGCAAATACATTACGGACAAGGATTGACTATCCTCCCACTTCCAGTGCTTTTTTGTGCTTTTCTATTTGTGTGGTCACGGTTAAGCCACGTCAATATTTTATATTACTATTCATTTTTGTCTTATTATCTCTATACAAAAATAATATAAAATGTTGACGTGATTTAATCATGACCACACAAAACAGGAGGACACCGAAAGTGGAATAAAAGACAATCCTTGTCCATACATTACACATTGGTCTCGTGGTTGAAACACTGCAGACTACACCAAAAAGTTTGGATCTTTATAGATATCAACGAGGAGGAGGACACTCCATCTAAAGAGATCTAAAAGCTCCATTCGGGAGTCGAAACTTTACGCAATCTTCCGAGGTCGTATCTCTCCATCTCTCTTCCCTCTCGCTCTATTTTTGGAGAAGGATCTGTCTTAGATCTGAAACTTTGATTCAACGGTCCGATCCAGTTTCAAAATTTCCCAGCACTTTTCCATTCACTCCAGTCTCCGATTGTCTTACGACCCATTTTTTTTGTAAATTCAGAGAAGGAAGATTATCGCAAAGCATACATGGAAATTTCATATTTTTATTTCCATATATAAAGGAGGGAGCTTTTGATTGGGGTAGTGGGAGCCTACTCCAATGGGGTCCCGTAAACGATCAAATGCTTCTTCTTCTTCTTCTTCTTCTTCTTCTTCCTCTCAGCACACGGACGCTTCGATCTCAGGCAAGTGATTCAATTTCTCTCTTTTCCTCATTCATTATTTTATTATGTTATTTTTCTGTAATTTCTGACCCTCCAAATCGAAAACCCAGAATTGGTTTTATATTTGGAGTTCATGTTTATTAATTTATTGAGATTTGATTGATTTGAAACTTTGGATATGTTAGAAACAAGTGGACTTTTAGGTTTTATTGGTGAAGTTTGAATTAGGGTGATAATTGGACTATTAAGTGGATTGGTAATAGAAAGAAGTTGAAGTGTAACATTTGAGGCCAAAAGGGTCTTAAGAAAACAATTCTGTTAGGCGAAATAGGGTCTAAGATATGAAGATTGATCTCGAAAACTATCGAAATACTGGATTTGAAATAATTAGGAATCCTTTTGATGCATATCCTGTAAATGCAATTCTATCGTTTTGCTACTTAATGGGCTTTATGAGTGTGTTTAGTTTAGTAGGATTATGAGTAGAAGGATATTATACAAATGTTTTCTTTAGTTTAGATGATTGAAATTGTTTAGTACCGGTTTCCTGTGATATTCTAGTTAAAAAATTTCCATCTTGGGGATATAGGCACCCAAGTATTCACCTCTGTGGTCGTTCAACTTGTATACTTGCACTTGCAAATGTTACAGTAGCCATCTCTCTTTCTTGTAAATACTGTGACTTTCATTTTTGTTGTGCATAAATTCATCTGTAAAAGCTATTTTGCGCACCTCTTTTCTTCTATGTTAATGCTTGGTCAACAAAGTTTCAATATCAGCTGAAATCAGTCGCAAGTTAGTAACTACGATTAGGAAGTAAATGAAGTCAATTATGGATCATCACTCTCTAAAGGAAGCTGCAGACCTGATCAGTCTTCAATATTTTTCACTGATTAAATTGCATAATGTTTCAGGGATCCATGAGAAGCATCAAGAGGAACTAGATAACTTGACACTAACATCTCAACCCTTGAGAACATTGAAGTTTTTCATTTTGGCTGTAGTTCAGTATGTTAAGCGTTCAATATCATATTTGTTGGCAAGAGGTGGTTGGCTTGTGTTTTTGAGTACTGTGGTACTGTCTCTTGGGATTCTTCTAATTACCATTGACGGTCCTCATGAAAAGGTATATTTCTTTGTAGATTATCTTAGTGATATCACATTTTGTAGCAATTTATGTTCTTATGGATGAGTCGGAGGTTTTTCTCGCTGATATTTTGTTCATTATTTTAGGGGCTATCATATATGGTAGATAGGATGCTAACCTAGGGTTAACTAAACCCTTCTGTAGCTGCTTGTTAGGACTTAGGGTCATAACAAGTCACGACCTTTTCAGAGGGCTCCATGTTGATGCCTTGTGAACAATCTTCAACGCTTTTTGTGTGGTGCGGATGTTAATTTTTACACATCATTTGTACCCTCCTGATGGTGAACCATGATATTACATACTGTGTTTGAATTTATCTTATTTGTTTTGTTTAAATGCTTCTTGGGAATTATGAATACAAGTTGTTGCCATATTTCTGCAGCATCTTGAGGAACTCGTCAAATATTTTCAGTTCGGATTATGGTGGGTGGCCCTTGGAGTTGCATCTTCAATTGGTCTTGGTAAGCAACATGACAAAATCCTTGTTCCTATATCAGAATATCTGATGGTGCAAGTAATTTAAACTCGGAAAAGGATGCTCCAATTGTCAATTGTCATACTGTTCATATTTGGAACAAGAAAGAGCATCTCCTCTGATGTTGTTTTTAACTACTTAGCCACATCTTTCCTGGTGTGCCTTGATCTAACCTACCTGATATCTGATATATGAAGACTTCTTCTGCTTATTTTTCCTTCAGGATCTGGTTTGCACACGTTTGTCCTATATCTGGGCCCTCATATTGCGTTTTTTACATTAAAGGCAATGCAGTGTGGTCGGGTTGATCTAAAAAGTGCTTCCTATGATACAATACAGCTAAAACAAGGCCCTTCGTGGCTTGGGAAGAACTGCTCTGACTTTGGACCCCCCTTGTTTACATCATTACATGGTTTGCGGGTTCCACTTAGCAGCATATTACCACAGGTCCAGTTAGAGGCTGTTTTATGGGGTCTTGGGACTGCAATTGGAGAGCTTCCTCCATATTTTATCTCAAGAGCAGGTGAGCAGAACAAAGTTTAGGTTGATAAACCGTCATACAACTTATATTAGTATTTACCACCAAGGGCAGGTATGCGGAGCCATTAGCATACAAGGAAAATAGATAGGGGGAGGGAGCACACTTTTCATCCAGTGATTTACGTTATTTATATATTTAGATTTGATGTTCTTTTGGTTTATTGCTTCATGTAGCAAGCATGTCTGGTAACAAAGTTGTCATGGAAGAATTGGATGCTCCCTCAGATGAAGGAACAGGATTCATAGCTACTCGTCTAAACCAAATCAAGCGCTGGCTCCTGTCACACTCTCAGCAGTTGAACTTCTTTACAATCCTAGTACTTGCTTCGGTTAGTTTGAACATCTTTCTTCATTACTAGATTACCATTTTCAGAAAATATGAGATTTAGTTTCATCCAAGTGACCTTTTATGCTTTGCCATGGGAAATCTATTATTTCCCCTTCATTACGGATAATTTTTATTCAATGTTACACAGATAAATGAATTTTGGATTTCTATTACCACAGTAGTTCTATGAGTTAGAGTTAGTCTTTTAAATCCAACTTTTAAGTCTTGAGAATTCTTAAGTATGTGCTCATTAAAGCTGGTGTTCATGTATGCCTGTACTGCCGGACTTCTTGTTTGATCTCAGAAAGTATCAGTTGTTAACTTGTTATGCATATCTTAAAATTGTTTTCATTACTATTTTCATTGTAACCTGCCAGTTAACTGGGATATTTTCAGGTGCCGAATCCTCTTTTTGACCTGGCCGGCATTATGTGTGGACAATTTGGTATTCCATTTTGGAAATTTTTCCTTGCAACACTGATTGGAAAGGCAATTATTAAAACTCATCTACAGGTTTGTTAAGTTCCTTTTGGTATGTTTTGGTTTCAGTTACACCAAATGTTTTTAGTTTTCATTTTTGTGATATATTTTGGCAACCAAATTGGCTTCTGATCAATGCCGGTGGTTTGCATATTTTCTATACATGCAGACAGTTTTCATCATCTCAGTTTGTAACAATCAACTTCTAAATTGGATAGAGAATGAATTGATTTGGGTTTTCAGTCTCATTCCTGGTTTTGCTGCTGTCCTTCCTAACCTCATTGTGAAAATTGATGCGGCAAAGGAAAAGTATCTCACAGCTTCTCCTTCGTCAAATATCAAGGTAACTCTACTGATTATAATGCATCCTTGTACATTGGCTTTTAACTTGTGGATATTGATCTCAAGTCCGGGTTTATTTCAATTTGTCTAATTCAAAATCCTTGGCAGGTGAAAACGTGGGATTTCTCGTTTGCCTCAATTTGGAACAGTTTGGTGTGGCTTATGTTGTTGAACTTCTTTGTCAAGATTGTTAATGCAACCGCTCAGAGGTATCTGAAGAAACAGCAGGAAACGGAGCTTGCTTTGTTGTCAAAGAAGTCATAGAATACCGGTCACACATAATGTTTGGCCATGGCCTTTAAAATGGCGGCACTGCTCTTTTTTTCTTTTTCTTTTCTTTTCTCCTTCGGTTTCACAACTAGGAGTAATAGAAATTGCTAGATACAGCTCTTTCGGAAGGCACCGTTGATCTCTCCCCAAAATGTTCTGTGCATGTCCTTGTTAGAAGCTAGTATAGGATCACAAATATCATGGAGAACTGTACAAGTTGCAGGTTTATGATGCGTGTAATTTTGGGGAGAGCATTATTTGGGGTTGGTTTTTTACCCTTGGTCAACTAAATGTTGAAATTAGAAATTAGAATCTTATTATTATTTGCAATGCAAGACAACGTTTGGAGGTTCTAGTACATTTCAGTGTTAATCTCTCTCTCTCTCTCTCTCTCTCTCTCAAATCCTTCTTCAGTTAATACACAGCACATTTCTTAACTTTGGACGTACTTTTTCCTAACTTTTGGGGAATAGTTGGAAACTGTTTTATCTTGGTTATTGTATATTTGACCAAGGATTTAATTGTTAAAGCCGTCAGAGTGAACACATTTACCGATTCGAGTGATCTAAACGCACTACAAACAAAACAAAGTCCAAACTCCAGTGATCTAAACCATCAGAATGCATTAATAGCCAAGTTGCTCTAGCAACGTCATTTCTTTTCTATGAACCACGTCTTGATCAACTTTTGGCATTTAGTCATCTTCTAAATACTCACGAACTATAACAATGGGGAGCATATTGTGCAAGGAAAAATGTCGATAAAAATGAGTCACATGTTTTACTGGGTTGTCATGATATGTCAAAATGATCCTTGAACACACTACAACATGCCGTTGATAAAGTGCATAGATAGACATAACTTCACTCGTTGTCAACAACAAGCGAGGCTCAGACGCCTTTTGACATGTCATAACAAAGTGCATGGGTTGTACTAGCCTCGCTTGTTGACATAAAGCGAAGCTATATGTCAAAATACATGGCAAAGCTAAAGTCCATACATGACTTGGAAAAAAAATCAAATGCCTTTTCCATCTATTTGGCTTGCTAGCATAGCGATGTAGTTAGAACTTCTGTCTCACCAAGTGAAGAGGAATATTACTAACTCTAATAGGGAAGGATTCATTGATTAAATATAAATAATTACATTCGCATATGCTACCAGAATGAATAACCACTCTTTTGTTGCACTCTCTTGGAGTAAACTGGAAAAATACATGCATGCCTTAAATTGCCGCAGAGGTGTAGGATATCATGAACAATACCTTCCACAGCCGTGTCTGTCGTCGTCCCCTTCCTCAGCTTGCCAATAATCGCCTTCGGGTTCGATTCTACGTCCCTTCCGTTCAAGACACATTGAAGGCGAAGCCCCTGAAGTGGAGTCTCACACCGGCCCATTTTAGTGCATCCGAAACACAAATGATTCATCTTACGTGTCCTAGGCACACGAATGATGTCACACACTTCCCTAACTAACGCGTCTATATAATATTGAGTAATAATATTCATACCATCTTTTTATACCATATTTATATATCATCTTAGGTGGCATCTGAGGTAGATAACCACATCATTTGAAAAATTTGCAAAACCCAAGGAAATAAAGGATAAAGACTCCTCGTATATCATAATCATCATTTAATTAACTAGTTTTTCTTAATTATTAGTTTATTAAATAATGAACTAAATTTAAAAATCTGATTAATTTAAATGATGTAACTGTTTATATCAAAGTGGTATGAAAATGTGGTACAAAAACATAATATGAAAATATGGTAAATTATAAAAAGCAGCCCAGGTTATTCAAGTTTGTGTCCACGTTCCCAAGATCATGGTTTGATTCTCATCAAGCCATATTCAAACCCTATCAAGTACTCTCTGGAAGCAAAGAAAGAAGTAGATTAATAATGGGGAATTTTAACCAAAAAATTTCGGTACTGTTTATTTTAACGAAAAATTATATTTTTACATTAAAAAGTCAATTCTTGTACTATTCACTTTACTCTTTATTTTGTCCTTATCGTTAAAACTCAAAAATTTGAAACACTTTTCATTAGTTTTAACGAAAATGACAAAATAAATGATAAAATGAATAGTACCATGATTGACTTTTTAGTGTAAAAATGTAGTTTTTCGTTAAAATGAATAGTACCAGGAGCTTTTTCTTAAAGTTCCCTATAAATATATACAAGTTATATTCTATTCCTTGGCCAACAAGTGGATTTAATATAATTAACCATTCGTATTGGCATCTCATGTGGCATGACTACTGAATTTCCACAAACAACGTCCCTATGACCTCAAAGGCTAATTTTTCTGAAAGTTTGGTATTAAGTGGGTACTTCACTTGTCATAAAATAAATGAGGAGATACAGAATAAATATTTTAATTTTTTTACTTATATTATAATATGGGAAATACCATTTAAATACTCATAACTTACAAAAATCTCTCGATCTCAAATTATCACTTTAATATAAAGTATGTTTTAGAATATAAAAAGACCTGGCGGACATTGAGTGATAGAATCGAGAGGGTAGGTGATAAGTCTGTCATGGGGCACCAATATGGCAGATCCAATGTATTATTCTCCTGGACAGCATAGCCAAGTTCGTTCATGTGTAAAAGCGTTTCTTAATTTCATAATTTATTTTGGTCTGAGTACAATTTACCCTAAGTTTAAATTTAGTTGTAAAAAAAGAAAACTAATGAAAATGATTTGAAAACTTTGAGTTTTAACGATAACAACAAAATAAAACGTAAAATAAATACTACCAGGATTTACTTTTTAGTGTAAAAATATGATTTTTCGTTAAAGTGAACAATACCGATAGCTTTTCGTTAAAATTCCTTAAAAAAATAGGCAAAAAAGTTGTAATGTTTACACCCTGCCATTTTTCCATCAACTAATTATACTTTTTGTTATTTGATAAAAAAAAATTGTACTTTTTGTTAGGTTAATCGTTAGACCAACTATATTAATTAATGACGTGTAAGTAGGGGAAACACACTCTCAAATCTCCCCAATGTATTTTTTGGTGATACAATTAGTGGGTTTTAAAAGTGGAAAACTAACCAAAACATCCTCAAAACTTTACTTTTAATCATCAGGACAATTTTTTTTCAAAAATGCTGATCCTACCCTTCACACATATGTACAAGATTGGGTCAGTTTTATGCAAAGATCATGTGGATACATCCAAAAGAAGAAAAAGGAGATTGACATTTTCAGAAAGCATTTGCATGCAAAAGGATATGTGGCAAACATTGCAACAACCAAGACAATATAGATTCACATGCAAAAGAAAATGTGGCAAACACTGCAGCAACCAAGACAACATAAATTCACATGACATTCAAGCAAAGACAAGACAACTAACTTTCAGAAACAGTGCTGGCAATTTTCAGAAACAGTGTGCTGTCACTATTCAAAAAATTGTAAATAGATGAAATGTTATTTTGTCTTTGAAGAATTAGATTTTGTATATAAGAGAGCCTTTCCTCTCATACAGAAGACACCTGAATACCACACACCTCTCTCAACATTTGAAAGCACCATACTCACTTCATACACTCAAGCATTCGTAGTCTTCATAGCATCCTTGTAAATACTTCTTTGTAATCACTTTCTTGTAAACAACTATCTCTGTAAACATTCCATATATCAATAAAAGTTAAAGTGTATATATTCAAGCAATCTCCAAGTCTTAAGTAAGTTTTCTTTTCCTTCTTTAGTGTGTTTGTTTAATTAGACTTCTAGTCCAAAACAGGAAAACACTATTGTGGTTATATTATTAACCTGCTAAACTGACAATCATACTTTGTTCGAGCACTTTGTTATGGTTGAATGTTTGCCATACAAATAACTGGACATTAACCAGGGTACCTCTGAGTTCTTCGTACCTCTGAGTTCAGCCGTTAAGGCCTTATAATTGTACTGTGAGTGGCCGTCATGCTGAAACATGTCGAGTTCCATGTGCAAGGTTCTCTGTCTAGTTGTTATAATGGTCATCCGACTATTTAACCGAGCATGCATTTTGAATTTGGTTTCAGAGCCAAGTTTAGCATTTTAATAGTATAATTATAATAGTAAAGTACCTTGAGGATAGAAGTCATTGATACAACTGATATCATATTTGTTTATTGTGTATGAACAACAGATATTATTGTCTCTGTAGACCCTGTCAACCACAATTACCAGGTATTTATTGTCCCAGACATCCAACTATAACTAACATAAAGAGAAGATTAACATATATATCCAAAAGAATTATCAGTACTTTGAAAAAGCAAAAGTTTTATCTTGGCTATCTTGAACATCCTTCATTTATTCGTAAATATAATAACACAGAAGTGCAGCATAAAGTTTTAGAAGCAAAAAGAACAACAGATCAAGCTTTAGAGACCTTGAGAGAAGAAAGAGAGTTTTTAAGAAACCAGTTAGTTGTAACTCTAGAGAAGAGTAGACTGTAGTTTATGATAGATTATCTTAATTTAGAAATTAGTGAACCTCAAAAAAGAAAAATAACTTTAGACCAAAATAGTTTAGTTTGTTATTTTCCATCAAGAAAGCATAATCATATTTTGCATAGTGAAGAAAATCCGCAAGCCAATAGTATTGTAGATCTTATTATTAGTCAAGCAGAAAATATAAAATTAGAAAATAATAAGCATAATCATTTGTTAAACCAGTTGTTAGAACATTTTCAGAAAAATTCCATAAAGATAATTAGAAAAAATTTAGATTATATTACATCTCAGTTAGAAGATAATAATAAAAATATTCAAAGGTTTCCTAGTAAAAGAGAGATAAAAGAGCTTGTTGACCTTATAGATGGTAAGCCAAAGCAAGTAGAACTTAGGTCATTAGAAATAGTTGAACAACTAAAATTAGAAGTTCAAAAAATTCAATTCGTACAAAAGGAGTTGAGTGAACAAGTAGATAAGTTGCATAATAAAATAGATAAATTATTAGTTTAATGACAGATTCTAGAACTAGCAGAAAATATATTCAAACTTTGAAAGAAATTAGTAAATTAGATAAAGAACCAGTAGGATTAACAGATTTTTCAACACAAGTATCTAGTAGTAATATTCCCATTAGGCAAAATAATTTAATTATCCAATTAGTTTTAAGTTTAGCTGAAAAATTAGATCAAGTTGAAGAACAAATAGCAGAAATAAACCAAGTTTTACATAACGCATCTTCATCACTTCCACCATCCTTGCTAGATAAATTAGAAAATTTAACTTTGAGTGCAAATAATAATAGAAGACCTAAGCTAAATCCTTTTGATAATAGAAAATGGAACTCTTTAGGAAAAAAGGAAAAGAAGTAGTTAGAGCTGAAGATATTTATCC